ACGAGAGCGCGGTCTTTGACTCTCGTTCCTTGTTCTTTGTTCCGAAACTGCACGGAAACGCTTGCTACGCAGGCTAAGTGCGTTCCGACCTTAACACTTATCAATTGCAGAGGCTTTAAACCGGTGGTGTATTTTGTCTGATTAGAACCTAGCAAGGATCGGATAGAGGTATATTTGATAATTACACTGTTTCAATCGCAGAGGGCGTGGTTAATCAGTCCATTCCCATCGTGCTTCCTGTTGAAACTGCTGACAAAGAGAGACTGGTGAAGGAGAAAGCGTTTGCCCTTCGCTTTCGGGGAAAACCAGTTGCTATCATGCGAGATCCTGAGTTTTATGAACACCGCAAAGAGGAACGATGCGCCCGACAATTTGGAACAACGAATACTGGACATCCTTACATCAAGGTAACGGCGGAAACATTCAAAACGAAATGCTTGATACCCGGTTAAAAAGGAAATAACATCACAGGATGAGAAGTAAAACAACTTATGATTACGATTGCTGGGCGTCAATTCAGAAAAATAAACACGGCTTGAGCCTTGAGCCAAACCATTTTATTTCTACTCAATAAATAACAGTTATTTTCAACTGTTGAATATGAGAAATCGAACAATCTAAGAGTGTTTTTGAGTTAAAATGAGCGGGATGAAGGAGTCATAGTATTTTTCACACCTATATGTTTGTTTCTTTGTTTGCTTTTTCATGCACTACTTTGTCAAAGGATAGATGTTGACGTGATGCTGCAAATTACAGTGGAACCTCGATATAACGAAGGGGCAACTCCAAGGGATTGGCAAAATTTGTTCGCTGTAACGAGGTTTTGTTATATGGAGGTTCTTTTTCATATATTTTGTTATACTGGGTTAAAGAAAATCGTCCGTGATACCAAGGATGTCGTTATATAGGGGATCGTTACATCGAGGTTCCACTCTATTTTTAAAATCTGTTTCGTGGAGAAAAAGTCACACACAGACAGAAATGATCGTAAATAGATCAACCAGAGCAAATGTGTTGCGGGCGACTGGTTAAAAAAAGAAACTATTTTGTTCGCAGATGATACATGAATCAGGAGATTGGTTAGTTGGAGGGGACCTGGAAGCCTTGGAAAGAATTAAATGGAATGATGGACTCGACAGCTACCGAAAGACTCCGAATGAACTTCGGGCTGAATTCCGACGACGAGAGGCTGATGCCGTGTTTGCTTTCCAACTTCGAAATCCAGTTCACAATGGACATGCGTTGTTAATGCAGGTACGTAGCTACTTCGTGCATGGTTACAGCTGGGCTATGAAGCCACTAATGTTGGCAGGAGTCTTTAAAGTAGGTTCATATGTTCCCGTAGATGGAACAAATATAAAATTTAGGCGAAGGGTATAAAATCAATCATTTACATGAATTGCGCTTGTAAAATGTAATGGAGGAGGAAGCTGATGGTTTTCACATTGAACTCTTTTTGTTGTTAACTGAGGAAAGTTATTTTTAATTTGGGTTTAAATTCGACGATGTGTCAGGGAATTTATTACCATTTGAGTCCAGGTTTAAAAAAATCACGAAATGAATCCTCAAGAAAAGTGACGCTACCATCATATTTTAGGCGAAATCAAATACACGCAAAATAGAGTGAGATAATTTGAATTAATCTCTTCCTAACAGGACACCAGACAGAAGTTACTTGACAGGGGATTTAAGAGGCCTGTTTTGTTACTGCATCCCCTGGGAGGGTGGACTAAACAGGACGATGTTCCTTTACACGTCAGAATGAAGCAACATCACGCGGTTATGGAGGAAAAAGTACTGGATCCTGAACACACAGTTATTGCTATTTTCCCTTCACCTATGATGTACGCAGGTCCAACAGAGGTTCGTTATCATTGATTTTATGTTTTATAATGCAAGAGCACTAAACGGAATCTGATCCGATAGCCATAGGGTGCTTCACTTCAAGCATAAGAAAGCTTCGCCTCACTTTGTTAAAACTACGGCTATTACCATTCCTTACATTGGAATTTTGCCTTATTTTCGTGAAGCCTAAAAGCACAGGGCTTTTTGACAAGCTCATAGTCAGCTCAGCCTTGCAATTGACTCGTTGTTAACTGATCCTGGTCCTAACTTTTTTGTTGTTTTTTTCTCCGTGTTTTTTCCTATGTTTGGAAGAAGTTAATTCGTGTCTTTTATTGCTGTCCTTTTTGATTGGCTGCAGTATGTCACCAACCGGAAGTAAAGCAAAATCTGTGCATCCTATGGAGACTTGTTCTTTGTTCTTACTCGTTCTCCTTTCTTCGTGTTTCGATTGGTTTATTTGATCTCCAATCGTCTGTTCTAACAAAGGACAAAGTGAAGCGTCGTGCAGGTGTGAATCGCTTTATTGAACTCTTGTTTTACTCTTGACAGGTTCAGTGGCACGCTAAAGCACGTGTGGCAGCGGGAGCAAATTTCTTTATTGTAGGACGGGACCCAGCTGGAATGCCCCATCCTGATCCTCCTAAAAGGGACCTTTATGAACATACTCATGGTAGAAAGGTAGGTTTTAAAATGTACATTTTAGTAATCCTTGTTGCGACTCGGGCAACTTTAGGAGTTTCCAAACATGCTGGTGTGAAAAAACTCCATACTTTTACCAACTAAACGTGTAAAGCGAAGCAGATTATTGTTCTGGAATTGACGTAACTTGGATGTGAAAGGAGAGAGACCTTGTCGCCGTTTACAGACTGACTTAGCGTCGTAAGTGGAATGGTCTGAGCTTAAAACTGTTTCGTTTTCCGGTCTATACTAAGACATTCCAATAACCACTTTACAGAGCCGTCACTTCTACAATGACATTCAAGATGTTTTGAATTTTGTTGTTTAAATTTAAATAACACTCTACAGTGAAACCTGTAGTAATACCGGTTCGTTTGACAAAAATATGGAAGAATAAAACGGGGGCTTTCTAGCTTGCGTGGCAGGCATTAACAGGATTAAGGGAAGGGGGAGGGGGAATTTCGGCGTGCGGGGAGGCTTCCTATTCTTTGCACCCCCGAATTTCCTCTTCCTCCTTCCTCTATTTAACGCCGGCCACGCAGGCTAGGGGCTTTTTTGACTCTAATATCCGCTCAATGCAGGGTGCCCGCTTATTATGCGGTCTGCGTAATACAGGTTTCATGGTATCAAAAATTTCAAAGAAGGTGTATGAAGAAATAGCGTTTTTGGATTTGGTATGTAAAACACCGATACTTGTGGAGGGGATAAGTCAGGACCATTTATAGCCACACCTAAGGTATGCGAACACGTTTGGGGCCAGAAATGTGTCCGCATAGATCAAGTTATGGTGAGACGATTTGTCATAACAACTTTGCAACCGTCGATGAAATCCTGTGGTGTTTCCATTCAAATGAAACCTCTTCAGCAGTAATTTCACATGGTGCTTTTTTTTTACAATGAAGTTGTAACTTAAACGTCTGTGGCCGAAATCCTATGGTGTTACCATCCAAATGAAACCTTCTCGGGAGAAGTTTTGCATACTGCTATTTAAATCTTACGATTTAACAAAAACAAATTTGGATTTTTTTGTTCAAATCTTCATTTTGGCCTCTATGCGGAGTACAAGGGTTGATGGAGGTTAAAAAACGCATTGTTTAAATCCATGACCAAGTCTCCGCCTGGGGGAGGTGTTAGTTAGTGCATATGGTTTTAACCCTAGATAATCTTTTTCTTTACTAGGTATTGACTATGTCACCAGGTTTAACTCAGCTTGAGATAGTACCATTCCGCGTGGCAGCGTACAACACTAAAGACAAAAAGATGGAATTCTTTGATCCTGCAAAGAAAGAGGAGTTTGATTTTATTTCTGGCACACGCATGCGCGCTTTAGCACGATCTGGTGAAGTTCCTCCGGACGGGTTTATGGCGCCAAAAGCGTGGAACGTGCTATCTGAATACTACCGTTCACTTAATGACAATTAATAAGGGAGCCTTATAAAGGGCTAAATCTGATTCTTCTGTCGTTCTTAAAGAAGGTGGATACTTTGAAAACTAATTCAGCTTGCACCGTGCTATATTGTAGCTAACGGTACTAGCATCTTTAGTTGAGATTAGAGAACCAACGGAACTCACCCACAAACTCTAGAAAAATATATAAGAGCTTGTTGTGACCTACAGATAAGGTTAAGGTACTATAAAACGGGCAACAAAAACGCTGCTAAACGAGCTGAATGGCTGGGGTGCGCGTTTTACCACCCGCGAATCAAACCTTTCTTGCAAAATGTCTTGTTGCAGGTTGAAAAAAAAATTGTTGCAGAAAGTAGAGAGTAGTTCTACTTTTTGCAACAAAATCTGTTTACGTTGGGCGTTTTACCGGCCTGAGGCAAACTTGTTTTGCAGAAAGAGACGTAAATCCCGTTTATGGCGTGACTCCCGCGTAATTTTTCCAATCATAAGTCAGTATTCACGCAACTTGCAACAATCTGATTTGTTGCAAGACGGGTTTGAACGTGGGTGGCTAAACGCTGAACTTAGTTTTTCAACTCCTTAGCAGCAATGCTGTAAAGCAGGGTGCACGTTTTTGTTGCACGTTTTACGGTAGCTTTTGAATCTATGGCGTCTCTTAAAGCTACTCTTCCTTCTCTGGACTGCATTGCCCTTGCTATTTTGTTAACAAACGATTTTCTGATTTTGTAGATGAAGACAGTTACGTCTAAAAAGATCGCTTTCTTCCAGTCCCTATGGTACAATTTTCACTTGTAAAATTTGATCTTATGTTGCGTATCCCCACTTGAAGAAACGACAGTAACGAGTCAGAGTCATGACATTGTTAGATTGCACCACTGAACTCAGTTCTATTTTAATAAGTTTTTATTCTTGGTCCATGTGCCGCAATGAGCAACAGTATGTGTACATAGGATTTGTAATGTAGAATTTTTTCTTAGACTTAGCTTTGTGTCTTGAGTTATCCGTTAAATCCAGTTTCATACTAAGAAACTGAAACGTTTTCAGAATGGTAGGGAATGGTATGAAAATTTCAGTTTATAGGGAACCAGGAATTACCGAGCCATGATGGTCAACCTCGTTCCCAGGGTTCTCTCGTACTCGTCCTCCAGGGGCAGAGAAGGAGAGGACCCTGGGAACGAGTTTGCGTGATGGTATCGAGTAGCTGTAACCCTAAAACAGATCTTAGAATAAGTAGTAATAGTAATAGAAATAATTAGTCTATCTTTTTAACTGGTATTTTAATTAGGATTTCTGGTATGTTAATGTAGATTCTGGTAATGTTCTTGTTTCATTGTAACGTTGTGGAACCAGCCAAGAATTAAAACATAAATGCACGGGTGACACCCTGCTTTGTTACTGATTTCAGCTTCTGAAAAAGACAGTTATTCAAGAATTAATATTTGGCATAGAGCACTACATCTCGCTCCATATGACGTAAACCGGTTTCCGGACTTCGGAAAATGTTTGTTTGAAGAATCCAAAATCCTGCGCTTTGGAATTCGAAATTCAGCTCAGGTAATCCGGAATCCCGCAAACTATAAGAATATGGAATCCAGGTTCCACTTTCGAGGAATGCGGAGAGAGAGGAATCCAGTAGCTGGAATACGAAATCCATAGCGTGGAATCCAGAATCCAAGACTCTCTTGTATGACCAGGAGCCCATCTGGATTACCTTATGTAGGGCGACAGATCGAATATGAGGACGAGGTTTTAAACCAGATAAGTGTCCTGACGTTTCCAGGCTCCTGTCTCTTTATGAGTGGAAGCAGGAAGGTTTATTTGACGAAGTTAGGAAAGATTTTAGAATTGTGTTGTTTCCCTTTGTAAATATGAGGTTTTTCATGATGCTGATATCTCCAACGTTTTTAAGAAAATCAGTGACAGTACCTCAATGTAACACATAACGTAAAATTCCGAAAGGCCCTTTTTGAGGGGGTAGACAGTGGAAACGAAGGCGGCTGAAGTCGAAAGTATTGTCCGGAATGTGACAGGGCCTTCGGCACTAAATCACTCACCTCGTGATGTTCCTTGTCATCATCGACAACGACAGATGAACAATAAATCTGCAGTTTCTACCCTAAGCGAAACGAACAGCAATTCCCGTCACTTTCAGGTAGGAGTTCTCCGGGAGAAACTCTTAAAGCAACGTTTCCCAATAAACTGATTGTCAAAATTGAAATTTTGCAACATTTTAAGTTTAAGAGCGAATCCATGCAAAAATCGACCAAAATCGCCGATTCGTGGCAAGGCTCAAAAAATCAAAATCGCTCTTCTTTTGCAGACTGGTACACTTTAGTAAGTCTACAAACACTATGTAGTTTTTTCTTCGAAAGATCTATTCGTTTCCGAGAAAAACGAAGAAAACCGTTTCAAGCCCCACAAGCGATTTCGCAAGCCAAAAACAGGGTCGAAATCATCATGATTCGCTGGACTCGCGTTCCAATACAATCGCGCTAGGAAAAAAAGTTATTGCTAAAATTTTAAGTTTAACTCGTCGTTGATCGAACTATATAATATTTTTAGCATTACATCAGTATGAGTAATTATAAAAAAAGCTAAAGCGTACCGCTACCTGATATTTAGCGACGAAAGGTCGTTGAAAACAGCGACGATTTTCATCATGTGCCTTTGATCAGAATTTTTTCAGATTGAAGGGAAATACACTAGAGCCATCAAACGTTTATGCTATGTAAAAATTATTTTGGGGAAATCATTTTGAGCTTGTCAGAAATTATTTGAAAATCGTTTTACAGACAACATAAAGTAACGCCATCTTTAACATATGCGTGACCATCGTCAGTCGACCAGGCAAAGGTCATAACGTCTCTCCTAAAAAGTCCTGGTAATATTCACGCACAAAGTTCTAAATGTTAAAGTACTTACCCTATTCTTTGTTTCAGGTCTAGTTTCACGGCAAAATGTTTCCCGTTGCCATCTGTTCAAGTTTGTCATTCTATATCAAACTCTGTTTGAGACTCATAACTAACACGCATGCTTTCTAACGAAGATCGCTTAGTAAACACGTAGTAAACCCCCCGGGGGGGGCACTCCCATACATTACCTATACGGGTATGTGCCGCCCAACGGGGTTGTGATTTGGAAGCTCCTAATTTAGAACGGGGTATCCATTTCAGAGGCGTTTTCTAGAACGGGGTATAAAAAATTGTGGATCACCGCTTTATCTTCTGCTTAAAATTGTTGCTGATTATGAAGAAGCATTTATTTCATGTATAAGTCGAACAAAGAAAGAAATATCTCTTTAAAAAAACAGGACTATTTCTAGAACGGGGTATCAGTTTTAGGGCTAATTCTAGAACGGGGTATCAATTTTAGGGGAATTTTTTTTTAGAACGGGGTGCCAATTTGGAGTCCTGGGCGGCACATATCCACCCAAAAAATACCCAAGTGCCCCCCCCGGGGTAAACCCTCTCTTCCTTATCTGTCAAAAACGTTTGTTTCAAAATGCTGCTGGACACCGCAGAAGGAAGCGCCAATCTGAAGGATATTAAAAGCGCCCATGCGAACGTTTGTCACTCAGTATGCAAATTACTTTCAACAGTAATATCAGATTACAGCTGTCAAGATCCCGGGGCCCGGGGTCTGGATCCGCTAAAAGCAGGCGAAAAGCAAACGTAAAACATGCGTTTTGAAAATGAAGAATTTAATTGGTAGCCTCGCTGAAGATTTTCATTGCTTCGAGACGTGGGCATTATCAAAACAAAAGATGTCTTAACAAAAAATTGTGTACATGTTTTCTTCCCATCACCACTGGTGGAACCAAGTTGTTGGCTGTGGGTAAGCTCCTTGCCTGCACGTGCGTTATTTCAGAGTGCCTTAAAGGACAAATGTAATTTCTGCTGTGCTAAATGTCACTTTTCGTGAATTGAAAGAAACATTATTGGGCGGGGGGGGGGGGGATACGGGCGAAGTACAAAAGAAATATTCGCGCAAGGGAAAATTAAATGAAAAAAAATTTCATGCACGCCAATTAACCCTAAAAAATATTCATGCTACGGCCTAAAACTGAAATTCAAGAAGGAATTTGATAACGAAAAAAAAAATTTTTAAAAAATAACTTTTCTAATGGTCCGTTCGTAATAGATAAGATTTCTATTCGTGATCCCCAGTGTCCAGCGTTCTTGTAACATTCTGCAAGCGCATCTGCTTCTGAGCTTGAAGTCAATGGCTTCGTCATTCGCCATATCCCCACACGTTGTCTTGAAGGAGGTACAAGTCAGTCGTTTGAAGTAAATGTAAAAAAATAGAATAAAATAAAACGACAACAACAAATGCCATCAGAACTGGACTACGATCTTTAAATTTTAAAAAAATATATTTTCTCTGGGGGAAATCGGGTTTAATTTCAAACTAAGAAAAAAAATGAAAGGTTTATTTTATCGGACAGATTAGGTGGATTGGTACCGGGGAGACTCTGGGTTATCTAAGAGAGTTGACAACTACGATAAACTTTATACAGTATTCGTGGATTGAATTTTATGCGACTTATAAGAATATAATACAGTGAATAAACCAAGAGTACCTGAGCCTACAGGAATGAGGATACCGGTTTGCTGATAGATATATTTTGAAATGTTCTTCCTCTAACTCTTTTGTCGGCTTTAACAGGTTTCCCTCTTCTTTCAATTATGTGATTGGCGCTTTCCTTTGGAACTTGGCACGAATTGGAATAACTGTTCCGTCACCATCCAATACCGAGCTCAGAAAGATGGAAAGGGCATATATTAAAGGAACTTAGGGCGCTTTCCATTTGTCAGAACTGGCCGGCTGGATCTTTGCCTGACCAGTCATTTTGGAAATGAAATAGGATTTTTCCAAGAGTTTTGCCGAAAAATGTTCTCTTTCGAGCATACTATTTCGGATTTGACTGATCTAGCTGAAGAGTTTGATTAAAAGGGAAATTATCATTGCGACGGGAATGGTCTGGCTGGTCAGTTCTGAGCTAAAATAAAGTCTGTTTCGCTTTCAATGGCTAGAAAGAGACCATGTCGATCTATGCCCAGTTACGTCCTTAATAGTTTGATACCGACAATTTAACAATCTCAGTTGATCTCTGCTTATCCCTTCTATCAAACGAACACAGAGTACCTACTGATGACTCGAAGGAGCACGAACCTTCCATAGCTTCATCGAAGAAGAGCGCACACAATCAGTGTTTATGCTGAGATCTTCTTCTTTTTCAAGTGGGAATGAACGGTTGAATCAAATTAAACTAAATTTAATTCGATAATGTTAATCAAATGCCTAAAATGTCAAAATATTAAAGATAATTCTCAGGTAAAATAATGTCAACTGGAGTATTTTTGAAGAAGGAGGAATATAAAAGATGAAGCTTCTTCAGTGTACTGGGAAAAACGGGTGAAAGTCGGTGAAGCTCGTCACGTGTATATTACCGGAAGTAGACCATTGGCACACTCCTATGCAAATAAGATTAGTTGAAGTGAACGGATCCACGAGCAAGCAACTTTGCTTTGTTGACAGTTAAACAACCGAGCTTTATTTTATAGACGGCTTTTTTAAGGTCCGGCGTTCTCAAAATTTTTAACAAACATGAGATGTTAACTTGAAAACATTAGAGAAAACAGAGGGATGAAGAAATTACCAGAAAGCTGTCACGCACCTCCAACGCACACATTCCAGCGGACTTCATGACTACGGTAACATAGGTGATAAGACGGCAAAATGAAACAACTTGGAGCTTAAAGTACAACAGATACAGGTTAAGGTGAGCTTTTTAAAAAAATTGTTCTACATATCAAGGCTACCGGCGTTGTAAACGGAAACCTAAAGTCAAATTGTTGGTGGTGGTCGTGTGACTCATGTGTTGGATGCCGTTATTTTATGTTGTCTGTAACACGAATTTGAAATAATTTCTGAGAAGCTCAAAATGATTTCCCCAAAATAATTTTAACATAACACAATAGTTTGATGCTTGTAGAGTTTTCCCTTCCAATCTTGAAAAATTCTGATCAAAGGCACATGACGAAAATCGTCGCTTTTTTCAACTACCTTC